AATTCATGACCAAAAACTCAGAGTTCGGGGTCGACTAAATTGTGCCCACCCTGAACCAATTTCTGGCTCCGCCCCTGTTGGAAGGTAGTATCGGATTGTATTAGTGTTAAATCGAGCTTATATGTTGAAATCGATTGGATTTGTTTGTTGTGAATGATTTAATTTGAACTCTTAACTCCTTATATTATATTTTTCCAGAATTTTTGTTTCTTGATGGTAATCTTTCTCTAGGAGCAGTGAATTTTTCAACAATATTTGTCTTGAACTTTTGATGCGGTTGTTTATGGTTTTTCATTGTTGAAATACCCAGGACCAAAATCCAGTGGTGGCAGTTGACCCCGCCAGATCCCAGGTCTCTCTGCCCCTGCTTGGATGTAGTTTTTTTTTTTTGGCAAATTATCAATTTGGTGCTGCCCAAGTAAAAATACGTAGAACTTAATAGGTTTTTTTTCCTTACAAGCAGAGATTTTAGTTTCCTTTTCAAGTTTACCCCTGCTTTGTAGAATCTCTGCAGCATGAATGTAAGTGTTATGTTAACTTTTCCGGACTGATTGTTGGGGTTAGTTTAAAAATGATTGGTCGTTACTTGTTAAGGGTTTTTGGTGTGCACTGCTAAGTGCAGATCTTTCAGCGGATGCTTGTTTCCATCTCTTGCTTCTCCTTTTAATTCAGCTTCACCCCAATTTCTTTGTTTTCTTGTGTGTTGTATGCCTAATAGATAAGGTATGCAGTAAACTAATAGACTGTAGGTGGCTGTGCAGAACTATAGTGAAAGATGAAGTTGGATGTTGATGTTCTTCGTTATCTCTCGAAAGATGACTTCAGGGTTCTCACGGCAGTCGAAATGGGCATGCGCAATGTATGTTTTCTTTCATTCTCCATCTTCCTTTTAACCTATTATACCGACGATATTTACACCCTGATATTTATTTATAGTAATTAATAGCTGATTTCCTTTTTTCATTATTTGTTGGGATCAGCATGAAATTGTACCATCGGAGTTAATAGACAGAATTGCATGCCTCAAGTGAGTTATTTTGTATTTGTATGTATTTTGTGTTTATATCATAGATTAAGCCTCTGTTTGTCTCCTTTTAAAACAAATTTCATTAATTGTCGTACTTATTTTCAATCACACATTTACACAATAAGCCCCTATTTGACAGCCATTATTTCGGGGAAACAAAGTTTTGAATAGTGATTTTTAAGAGAACATGTGGTTAAAAAATGAAGGAAAAGTTTTGGATTTACGTGTAGAATATTTGATCCATACTTTTTAACCACATATTCTCCAAGAAATCACTAATCAAAGCTTCATTTTTTCTCATTAATTACCATCAAGCGGGGGCTAATATATACATTATTGTGATTAATTTTTGTATTCTGCATATGATATAGGCATGGGGGTACTTATAAAGTGTTAAAGAATTTGCTTAAGCACAAGCTCTTGCACCACGACTCTTCCAAATGTGAGTGCTTCATTGTTATTCTCATTGTTTTTGTTATTAAATATTCTTGATTGCTCATTTTGGATCAATGTCCTTCATCCAACGTTGCACTATCTGTGCTTCCGGGTTATGGAGTGTTCATCATGCCTACCATGTTGATAGAGCCGCTTTTCTGTTAGGATAAAGGTTTCCAGTTTTGTCCAGGAACAAAACTTGGTTGATGGCATCACATTGTTTTGTGGATTGGGATGGAGGGAGAGGAACATTAGGGCTTTTGTAGGAGTGGTGAATCTTATCTGGAAACTGAATTGCCTTTGCCTTCATCTAGTGTTTTGGTCCCAAATTCCATCCCTTATTGTGTGGATGCCCAGATTGACTTTGTTGAGAACGTATATAACACTTTAGCTTATGTATTGCTTTCTACTACTGCTCGTATACCTTTTCTGCACCAAATGAAAACTGATTTTTCATGGTATATCATTATGCAGATGATGGCTTTCGGCTCACTTACCTTGGTTATGATTTTCTAGCAATAAAGACAATGGTTAGTCGTGGAATTTTTACTGGTGTTGGTCGTCAAATTGGTGTCGGAAAGGAGTCCGGTATTATTACCATTACAACCATTAATTAATCAAGTTGTATTGTTTCTTTAGTTTGTTGCATAGCAGATTGTTTTTTAATTATTGTTTCTGGTTTGAAGACATATTTGAGGTTGTAAAGGAAGATGGTACTGTTCTTGCAATGAAGCTTCACAGGCTTGGTAGAGTTTCTTTTAGGGCAGTCAAGTCTAAACGTGATTATTTGAGGCATCGCAGTAGCTATAATTGGCTGTACTTGTCGAGGCTTGCTGCTCTTAAGGAATTTGCCTTTATGAAGGTTCAATGATGCTGGACGTTATTTTTTTTTTCTCCTCTTTCATTTGCATTTTGTGGATGGAGGTGGTTAGAGTTCCAGAATGGTAGTTACCTTATTGCTGAGTTGTTTACTTTTTCTCGTGCAGGCCCTGGAAGAACATGGTTTCCCTGTTCCAAATGCTGTGGATTGCAATCGGCATTGTGTTATTATGTCACTTGTCCATGGTTATCCACTGTGAGTTTTTAGTTTGTTCCAAATGCCGTTGTGCATGTTTCTGGAATTGTTCTCAAAATTAAATTTTGGATACGTATTGGCATGCCTGAAGATGCATTTTATTACAGTAAATATACTCGTACTTTGTTTTGTTCTTATTTTTTTGCTTTAAAACTGAAGAAATACGAAAAATGCATTGCATTTTATTACAATAAATATACTCGTACTTTGTTTTGTTCTGATTTTTTTGCTTTAAAACTGAAGAAATACGAAAAAAGCATTGCTAACATTTCTACATAACTGGAAGATGACAATTGTAAAGTGAAGCTTGTTTATTCAACTTTTGGAGAAGGATTAATGAATTACTAGATTTTATAGTCGATAAATAATGAGTGGTCAATAAGCTGCAGGAAAATTCTAGAATGATGGAGAGAAATATAATATATCATCTAAATAAATAAGTTGCATGTTAACAATTTAATCTTTTAAACTTTTAGTTGAGGTGTTTACTTAATATGGTATCAGAGTTCACGAAAGATTTTAGTTAGAGTTCACAAAAGATTTTAGTTGAAATCTTGCCTTCATCCAATTCATGAATTTCAGACAGAAGAACAAAAGGAGACATGTCGGAGATGTAAATTTAAGTTCATAATTATTATCCTATCTAATACCTTAAAACTTTTAGATAGTCCTTCATGAAGTACTTGGTTCGATGTTTAAAAAGACGTAATTGGGTACTTTATAGTTTTACAACATGAGGTGAGGCATAGGCTTCGAGGTATTTTGAGGCCTAAGCCACACTATAAACCTAAAAATGTCCAAAATTATTAAAATGTAAAATAAGCTTATAATTAATCATGAATAATCTTCAAAATTCATAATAGAACGGTTTAAAATGTACAAGAAAAAGAAAATTCTATTTAGTTTCAAGAGGGAAACTATTATTTTATTTCATTATTTCTAACTTGTGAACTTAATATTTTCTATTTTCTTTTCTTGATGTACTTTTTTGTATATTTGTAAATTAGACTTTTAATTTGTTAATTAGGTTTATTATAAACTTTTTTAAAAAAGTCATGGTATATTACGAGCATATTTTAATATTCTTTTGAATTCATTTATTATTTATCTTGATGCTTACGCCTTGCCTCAAGGAGACAAAATGCCTCAATATCGGACTATTCTTTTTTAAACATTGGCCGTGAATAAAGCTGGAGCCCATGAAAAAGATTGAAGTACGAAAGGAAACCTCTGTTTAAATAAATAACTTACAAGATGTTTACTTTTTTTGTATTGTTTGATATCTTAATAGCTAGTTCAATGAAGATAATGTCAGGTTTCCTAATTTTAAACTCAGTGATAATTCTTTGTGTTGCACTATGTTCATCGTTATATTATTGCAGTGTGCAGGTTAAGCAATTGCAAAATTCAGATGCGATTTTTGAAACGATACTTGGTCTTGTTGTTCGTATGGCAGAACACGGTCTTATTCATTGTGATTTCAATGAATTTAACATTATGGTATGCTGCTGCGGTGCTTTCAAAGTGCATTAGTGTCCCTTGTAACGTTCTCACATAGTAGGTTTACCATGAAATGTGCACCTTGCTTTGACGGCACTAGTGTCTTGACATATTGTTTACTTTTCCTAAAAAAATTCTATCGGTGCTAGTGACAAGGGAATTGTGTTCTAGTTATACATATTTCGGTTCAGGTAATTCCCTTTTCTGAATTTCTTGGCTATGTAGATTGATGATGATGAGAAGATCACAATGATTGATTTCCCACAAATGGTTTCAGTATCTCATCGTAATGCCAAGATGTATGGTAGTTTTTCACGTGAAGTACTAGCTATAATTTCCCAATTATTTGTTGTAATACAATTCTGTACGACTCTTTATTGTGCATATTTTTAATCGACAATAAGTTTCCAATTTTCAGGTACTTCGACCGTGACGTTGAATGCATTTTTAAGTTCTTCAAAAAGAGGTTAGTGTCTTATTTTCTGAAAGCTCTGAACTTTGACATAGAAAAATGGTTATATCCATAAATTCTTATTTTAGATTACCTTTAAGACTTTCTAGAAAATACTGACCTCCATTGCTGTGCAGTCTTTTACAGTAAGCATTATGAACAGATAATCAAATGTAATATTTTTGTTCCTAATAGTTGAGACTTTTGGAGCTACTTGTAGATCCTGTACATTTATGTGGATAGTGCTGCTCACATTTTGGTTGACCAACACGTGGAGGTGTTTAGCTATTTAGTAAAATACTCAGCTTCTCAAGTTTTTGGTCTTTAGTTATAAAACGTGGCCTTTGTTTTATTGGGGAGTGTGCTAGGCTTTTTTGGGGATGGCTTTGGTTAGCAAGTGATTCATATTACTTTGATTTTGCTTGTGTATGAAAATTTTTGAGACTATCAAATTGTTGCATCTTTTATGAGGTTGACATTACTGCATAAAGAAAAAGGACTTTCTTGAGATAATGAGTGATTCATGATTGAGGGTTGTCTTCGAGTTCTAAGACAAGCTTTAACCATTTTTCTCTTCAATCCATGTAGGTTATTGGAATGGAGACCATTATNGAGCTTGTTTGGGAGGGATTAAAACCAGATTAAAATTGAAAAATTAGTCGTTGGAGTTGACTTTTATTAGACTAGTGGGACCCAATAACGGCTATATTTTCAATTTTAATTGGATTTTAATTCCTCCCAAACAAGCTTTATATCTCATAGAAATTTGAACTCCATATACACAATTCACAGTGAGAATGTTTTAAATTTAAAAGTGGATTTCCCCTTTACCCCACTCACACTATGAACAGTTGTACCATATGCACCCAGAATCGATGTAGGACAACGGAGTAACGTAAAAGAATTTAAGTGCTCTGTTTGGTTTGCTTGCCGTTCAAGTATTCAATAGATATGGACACAAAAACATAAATAG